GTGTATGTCGAATTCCAGCGAGTCTCAACATCATAGCTAATGACCTTTCGAGGCGACACCTCTCGCCATTCCCGTAGTCGCTGGGGGCTCCGGGCAATCCAGAGCACAAGCATGCGGATCTTCACAACAACGTTCTTCCCTATGAGCACATCCGCGCTCGGCTCTGCGGGCCACCGGCCTTTAATTGCACTCGCATGATCCAGCGTGGCCTTCGCCTCTCTCATCGATCCCACCCCCAGTTGCGTCAAGATGTCCTTGCAGATAAGATTGATGATGTGCGCAAGGCATCGAATAAAACTTGCGCGGCCGTGGAACCGCATCAGCGGCCGCAAGCGAAAATCACCATCCTCGTCATCGTAGACCTTCGACAGCTCTGCATAGATCGCATCGCACATCGTTCCATTGTTGCCGGCGTTGTCACCAGTGATGGTGAGGAGCTTGGGCGCAATATCGAGCTCGTGGAGCATCTCGAGGACAACCGTCGCCATATTCTCGCCTGAATGCGGTCCAGGAAGCTCGACGAAATCCAGTAGCGCTGCCCGTCGTTCAAAGCTCGGCGTGATCCAATGCCCAATTACCGCGATAATACTTAACTGGTGCTCAGACGTCCATGTGTCGAGAGCGATGGCAATGCTGTCACAGGTTTGAGCAAGCTCACGCCTCAATCCCTGACGATAATCTTCAAACTCATTCTTGACACGATCACGGAGAGTGTCGGCACATCTCAGGGGTAGCTGGGCTCCTGCAGCGTCAAAGATCGCCTTGAAGCTCGAGTGCTCGACCGTGGTGAAAGGCTGTCTTGTCTGAACGACCCATCGCACCAGTGCTTGTTCAAGGCTATTGCCCTCCTCCCTGAAACACAGCATACGGTCTAAAGGGCCTCGAGCCGGGCCTTCTGTCGACGCTGACCCGGGCCCAAGGCGATGGCGTGTGCGAAGATGAGTGAGCAAATTTGAAGTCGTGCCGTGGCGAGAGGAGTCGGAGGAAGACCAGCTACATCGCTTGCAGACGAGCAGGCGGTCATTCTGTGGAAGTCGGCCTCTTTTGCTCCACTGCGCGTCAAGCTCGGTAATCCAAAAATGGTCTTGAGTCCAGCTAGTATGCATTTTTCGCCTCTTCATCGCGGACTCTACAACGCTGGGGCCTGTCGACAGACAAAGTTCCTCAGATTCTGATGTGAGAACCGTTGGGAAGCCACCGGACACCTGCGAGACCGACTCGGCTGGCAGTGGCCCCTCACCGTCATCGTATTCTGCCGTGTCTGAGACAGTGCTTTGCTCAAGGACCGGCGAGCAAGGCGAAATCGACCTGTCGAGCCCGTTGTTAAGTGCCAGGTAGTCTTTGCGAGGTAGATTCCGCGTCACGCGAAACTCACCGAGAGCCACAGCCATGTCTTCCAATACGTGAGCTGTTTGCTCACGGAATCCAGTGATAGCAGACGGTCAGATCCATCTGGCATGAGAATTATGCCTATCGAGAAGAATCTCGCTCCAACTAAGCCAGAAAGGCTTTGAAATAAACAAGTTCGCGTACCAGGAACTTTCGAGCCTCTCGGAGCGTGTTTGAAGGGCGCACTACGCGCAGCCTCTCCTGCACGGCATGTATGCTGCTTTTGGGCCATTGCAAGTGCAGCAAGTCGCCTCCGCGCCTCGTAATTGATTCGGTGTAGGTGAGCTGGTTCAGGTTACGGATATAAATACATCAATTTGAGATGAGTTTACTCACGTGAAATCCGCATCGACCTTCAACGGCTCTGAACTGCGCAAAAAGATGGAGGCTAGGTACTCAACAGAATGGAAAGCGGTTGCGGAGCACGATGTAAGCCTCTCTGGGTAGATTCTGACATTTGCAAGCTTACAAGGGTCAAGAATCAACGTCGTCGTTTGGTGGCCGGAACGGATCAACTATCTGCCGAACATGAAGTGAATAATGTGAATACGAATATGAATATTGCCCATATTCGCGTGAATAAGTATTCACTTTATTCGTATTCGCATAGGCGAATATGAATATGGGCCATATTCATATTCATTTATTCATTTCGGAGCCCTAGTTGTCTCCATCGACAAATCCAGGAGTGGTTCTTGGCACTATTCATTTCCTGTCAGCGTGCATTCCAACTGCTTGGCTTTATAGTGCTCTTTTACCATAGCCGCGAATGAAGCCGGGATCACCCACGGGCTGACCATTCTGGTCCACCAGAGACAATTGCTCGATCCAGGTGTGGCAATGGACCAGGTTTAAGGTACAAAGCAACAGACATATACCAGCCAAGAGAGTCATTTTTGCTTTTGCTGCCTCCGGAATACTGCATAGGGTCTTGCCATTAATGTCATATACTCTTGTGACTTATGTGCTATGGATTCTAAAAATGGATTCAAGCTTGCACCAAACATAGGGCAGTTATTATTAGGATGGGACTATTATTGTGTGCGAATCACATCTGTGGATTATTCGAACCTCGCCGAAAAGTTTACTGCAGGCAGTACAGTACGAGACTAGGCCACCCGATTTTCTTTTGCGTTCGTAGGGGAAACTTGTCACTGGGCCGCATTAACAGGTCCTAAGTTCGTTTGGCCCTGCTGGGACGGTCTATGATCTGGTTAGCTTGTCCTTGACCCTGACCCGCCAACCCGACACTTCAAACAGATAACGTTTCACCCATACACAGACGAACAGCAGGTGGACCTCGTGAAGGCGGGCCGCGCAGAAGAGGTTCTCGGGGGCAGTGATTGCTGGTGGACGGGAGCGGAACCAGAAGGACCACAGAATCCACACATGCACTGATTGCGGATGGCGGTTGATGGAACGACAGTTTTTTCATTAGCGTTACCGGCTGGCACCTGATTGGACTGCTTGCCGCCCTTAGAATAATTGCACGTGACAACTAAAGTCCGTGATTAAAGCACCTCCTCCACCAAGATTCTCGAAGCTCTTTCTCGATATCACCCTTCTGCCAGCATGAACGACAGCATAGATGAGGTATCCACTCAAGGTTATTCCTTAATGGCTTACCGACCTAAAGGCAAACGCATTCGAGTTGTACAGCAATTTGTAAACACCATTCTGGAGGATGACACATTTTGTGAACCACCGGATCAGCCTTCTGAACAAGATGATGACGACGTACGCCCATACGATTTTATCGGTGCCGTAGGCATCAGAACAGATCGTCGAGGGAAGAAGACAGTATTGTATCACGTAAAATGGAAAGGCTACGGTATTAAGAGCATGACTTGGGAGCCCGAGAGCCATATTTTCGAAGGGGATTTGTGTTGAGGATATGAGATTATGCTCAGGCTCGAGATGATTTCCATTAATTCGTTATACACATCTTCACAAACATGGCTCCCATGCTGCACATATATATACACGCTCTCAGAGGGAGATTCCGCAGGCTGGAACGTATTTACAATGATGACCAAGAAATGACTAATCCTCCTCCTTGTCATCTCCCACATCCGAAGGTATCTGGATCAAATCTTCAACAATTTGTTGGAGTTGTGGTCAAAATATGGTCGGATCGGCATCACCAGAAAGAAAGGCCGGCAGGCACTCAGGCATCGTGTACAGCAACTACGTCAATCCCATCCATCAGAAGTCCGCGAAACCAATGTTCAGGAAATGGCATACGCACACCATGTTACACCATCAAAATCGCCGGAGGTGGTCGAAGCGCCTTGTGAGCAGAATTTTAAACGAGATGGCGGCGGTGATGGTCTTCTTTTCTCTGAGAAACCAAACGCACCAACAGAATCTGATGGTGCTGATGCTGGTGATTTGTCTCCATGTACTCCATCGCCCTTGCCTCATCACTCGCCTGCACCTCCACAACAAAGCTTTGGCCGGCTCGGTGATGCACGTGGGAATTCCTTGGAAAGCATCCCTCAGCCCGAGTTTCTTGATACCTCTCAAGGGTTACAGAGCAAAGAGACTATATCCTCGAGCCACTCCGACACTCCTGATATCAACCCTGCGGAGAAGGCCGGCCCAGCATCTGTGGTCAGTGACGTATCTGTACACGATGTAGTTATCTCACACGACAAGGCGAACAGAATAGGGTTGTTCACTCGCACCAGAACCGGTTGCCTCTCCTGTCGCAGAAGAAAGAAGAAATGCGACGAACATCGTCCGTCATGTGAGTATTCACCCTTCTCGTCGGGCATCACACGGCACGAATATAGCTCTGATTCACCTACTCACGTCATGGCAGGTGTTAATTGCCTTCGTCTCAATTTATATTGTGAAGGTTACGATCCAGGTCCTCGACGGATGGAACCCCGGCCTACTCCTAGCCCCACAACCATGGGACGGAATCTCGGCGCGGAGGACACGACTTTGCTTGCACTGGCCCAACAATCCGAGAGATATGGTAGCGTATCAAGCGATTTTCTCCCTAATAAGTGTCTGAGCCACTCCGATGAGTATCACAAGAAGCCAAAATATCTTCCACGTCTGGCAGAGCTGGATTGGCCGACGTTGGGAAAGGGGAGTCAGGGAGGGTGGCCTCTTAAACTCACAGACGTCTGTGGACGGCAAAGCTCCTTATTGACGGAGGCTATTCCCAGACCTATACAGCCTTCTAATCCCCGGCCTATCTCATACTGTCCTCGCGCCTTGCCGACCTATGCGAGCCTTCCACAGCCGTTGGAACCCTCTATCCTATACGGGAGTGACATCGCCCAACAACCACGACTCCGAGAATTGCCCAGCCCACTTCGGCGCCTTACCGAACTATACGACCTTTCTTCGGCCGGTCGAGAGCTCTGCACCCACCGTGAGTGACATCTTCTGCCGATCAAAGCTTCTGGAATTCTGCGACCCTTTTCATTTGAAGAGCGTGGCTTGCCACTTCCACCCCTGGTTATACTTGTATATTCAAATGACAACACACTCTCATCCCGAAATCCATAACTCCATGAGCTTGTGAGCAGGAGCTTTCGCTTACATTCCTCGCTCAAACCACTCCGAGTGACACCCCTGTTGTCACGCCGGCAACTCCGATTGATTTGAGCAACTTATCGCTTCCAAAATCATCCTACTCTGCGCTATCGAATGCATTTCCTCCCAGCTCTGTGCGGCAGCGCTCTCATCCGGAGCCATGTCTGAAGGGATTTGATCCGAATGAACGAGACCCTGGGCACTTTCGAGAATCTCTTCCAAGCAAGCCTCATAACAGCATGAGACGAGAGAAACTCCTTGCGAGTCACATTTCAGATAAAGGTCGTAGTATCTCTTCGTCGTCATCGGACGATGCTTTCTAGCACTGTCATATTCGATGTCCGGAGCGTCATCAAGGTGGATGGTACTGTGGAGGACGATCTCTCGAAGCGTGGAGATACCTGAACTCACATGGGTGACCAGATCAGCAAGCTCATCGCCGTCAACCTGCATCCAGAGGTCGAGTCGTTCGAGGTTCGGTGGAAGATGACTAACGGCTTGGCGTGGGCGGTGTAAGTGGGTGCACTCATTCACGCATGTTTCTTGGCTGGTACATCGGTGGAATCCACGCAATATCTGTCGTGAAATACTGAGCTTCTTCAGATTGGCAAAGTCGTGGAGAGAACATGGTCGAGCATCTGCATGACTACAACTTCCGACAAAGGCATATTCAACGCTGATCTCCTCGAGGCTCGTCTGTAGACGCCTCAAGCACGAGAACATCGAGGCTGAGGAGAGCGTTTGGCACTCCGTAGCCCATTCGCTTTCACTGTCGATAGTGTCTTCGTGATGGTTGCCAGAATCTGGGTCGCCGTCGTCAACATCTCTCCCCACCTCTGTCCGCTAGACCGGTGGAGCGCCCTCCCATAGGGGGTAACATGTCCAGGCTTTTAACCTCCAACGAAACACCTTTAGAGCCCTTGGGATGGCCATCAGGTAACGGAACTCTCGCACCGGGATATGGGGGCAAGATATGCTCATTTCTTGTACTGGCGAAGACTGTGGTGGAATGCATCGGATTGCAGACTCAGACATCTCCGCACAGGACAGCGACCATCTTCGTATCTTGGGGAGGCCGAGAAGCCTCACGGCGTCTTCGAACAGCTCGTCGCCGCCATCTTGAAACGGGATAACCGCCGAACCAATCTCGACTTCCTCGAGATGAGCGAAGTGTGAGAAGCGGTTAAAGAGTTTGATTCCGTCGTAAGTGAGGCTTAGACGCCGGAGTTGAGGTAGCTTTGACAGTACAGTACATGCGTAATCCTTCAAGAACTGCTCCGCACTGTAGCTGTGGCCTTCAACGTCTCGATTGGAGCAATATTTCTGCCTCGACCGCTCTATTGTGGCCCCCTGATAGATGACCTGTTGCTGGCTTCCTTCTTCTGGCGCAGTGTCTTTGATTGGGTTTGGACAGTTCGGATCTGCTGGAAGCGCGACCATATTGAAATCAGCAGCAATACCGAAATCACGTGTTATCTGCCGAAACGCTTCGTGATCCCAAAATTCAACCTCGCGAAGGGTGAGAGAAAGTTCTCGGACAAGAGCCGCCAGTGTGGGATTGTTTCGTATCGTTCTCAGAAAGGAAAATCCCCGATGCCAATCTGCGTAAGGACGTCGCGTGTCGAGATCCTCTTCGTCTGCCGTAAAGTTTCCATAGAGCCGAGGCGTAAAAAGCTGATGAAAAAAGCGACAGGTCAGTATAACTGAACTCAGGTCCGATTCATCCCACGGTATGGTCTGCAAGACGTCAAGCGGCAAGTTCATAAGCGGCGTCATGGTTAAGAATAGATGAGGTGCCGGCAAATACTACAGTACAAGTCACTGTATGGATAATAATGACAGAACAAAGTTTAAGGATTAGAGATTCACACCGCGCACAATATATATGTACATCGGGATGAGATTCGTACACTGAAAAGCCAGGATTTGATCGGATTGCGGAGGTTAATTTCAACGATCTCTCGATTGATCTTCCAATCATGCGCCAGTACTACGTAAACGCCTGTTTTCAGCCAATTGAGAAACTCGAGGTCCAAAGGCGGGTCACGTATCATTTTGTAGCTCCATTCTTTGTGTCCGATTTGCAGCATCCTCCATATCATGTTGTGCAAAGAATACGCCCTCATATCAGAGGTTTCTGAGCAACAGTAGTGCAGAGAGCTACGGCGGCCAATCCTCCTTCGGCAACGAACTTGCACACCTCGTCAAAAGCTCGTTCAAATCTTCCCATGCGATCTGGGCAATAAGCAAGATGGTCGCGTATCTCTGACAATGCTAGTAGTACATTGTTTGTCTCATGCTTGAGAAGTGCGCCCTGTGGTTCGGTCCTGCTGCTTTCCACATGTGTGAAACCCATCTCTTTCAGCAAGTCTGATAAGTGACCTAGCCATCCCAATGACTGGACGACTCGTGGCATTTCGTAGCGAATCGAAACGGGTAAAGTGTGATTAGCCTCTCTTGCGTAGGTGAGGATGTATGGCGGCGCAATGTCAAGCCACTGAAGCCATCCACCCTCGCGTAGCATGAGCTTCAAGTTTGCGAGAACTCGATCTGAGTCAGTACGGTCTAGACCACCCGCCAATAATCGAATGTTGATGATATCAAATGCCCCGACGTACTTTCTCTCCACTGGAGCGAGGACGTCGAAGGTGTCGAAAGTGCAGTTGCGTGGCCATATGTCATCGGGTGGAAAAAGTTCTGATGAGCTGTCCAGTCCAACAATCTGACAGTTCCTTGATTGTGATAATTCGATGGTCCATATGCCGTTTCCACATCCAATGTCAGCAATTATCAACGGGTGTCCCGGATCTCGTGTCCCGCCAATTGCAATGCGAGAGTCAAGTATGGATTCCGTTCTCTGACGAATAAGGAGGTGCTGGGCGGTCAACCTGGATGAGGCGTTGAAGTTGCGGGATAGGAGATAGCCGTCTGTAAGAGTAGGCATGTTGTATCGTGCCCTGATACTTGCTGTTAGACAACATTGACATCACGAGACAAATTGAAGTCGGTCGGGGATTTGGCTGCAGACCTGTGTAATTATACAGAAGGAATCACCACTCTTTGAACGGAAATTATCTGGGCCAACAACCAAAAATACGTGAAGACAAGGTATGAAAGAGCTTGAATCCCTTACGTCCTTCGTCTAATTGTACAAAGATGCTCACCATATACCATATGTAGTAAGTGTTAAGACACAGAGTCTTCACCGAAACCAAAAAGCAAAGAAAAGGATAGGTTACACGGAAGTTGGTTTCGCAATTCATTGTATCTTAGAGTCTTACCTAGGCTATTTTCGGACCTCAATGAACAGGTTACTGAAGCAGGTACTGAAAGGCACTGTGGGCTCCTACAGTGTGTCAATGTGACAAATACTCCTACAAGGAATACTCAGCCTCCACTGGGTGGATCCCGTATTGATTTGAAATTTGAGTTGGTGGCCGAGACATTCACAAGTAGGTCAGACCGGGTGCTGGGCAGTATACAGTCCAGTGAGGACGATTAGTGAAATCTCGTTTTATACAGCAGCATTGCTTTGCCCTTCAGTTACAGTCCCCCTATATTAACTGACCCTCGACATGGTGACGCCCATCACTTTCACCAACAAGGCCACAACAAGATCTCAGTCCGCGAAGGGTCGAACCAAAAAGGCTACTCAGCTGGATAAAAACACCATTGTTCGCTTCAACGACCTAAGGGAAGAAGGCAGAAAGATCGCTTTGGAGAAGTCGCACCGATATAAAACGGAGCAATCTGTCCCTTCACCATCTCAGCAGTCAAACTCAACCCAGTCGGAGACACCTCGTCAATCTCGATTGCAAAGGTTAGGAGATCGGAGACCTTACATCATGGCATTTTTCGGACTTGGTTTCATTGTGTTAGTTGTCCTTGCCTCCTTGGCACTGGCCGTGGACAAGGACAAAGACCCGGGCCTCGTCGCCAAGCTCCGGCTTGCCAATACGAATCTGGATCGATTGAAACTCCTTCCCAAGGACGAGGACTGGGTGTTCGATTTCACGAAGCAGGACAAATACACCTTTTCACCGGGGGGCGTGATCAATGCCAACGCGGCAACCTTCCCTGCAACTGTCGGTCTCGGCTTGACCCTGGTAAGCTCTCAGTTGATCGTTGACATCATGGTCGGTCTCCTGTCTAATGTGGTGAACAGGCAGTGCTTAATCTAGGTCCTTGTGCGATGCTTCCGCCCCATCTTCATCCACGCGGAGCCAACTTTGTGGTAGCGATCTCCGGCACCACTCAGACCTACATGATCAATGAAAATGGGGCTCGAACAGTTCAAGCCACTCTCCGGTCCGGCCAGATGACCATCTTCCCAGAAGGGTCCATCCACACGATGATGAACATTGGATGTGACAATGCCCAGCTCATCTCGGCCTTGAATAGCGACGATACCGGCACTCTGAACGTGGCGAACTCCTTCTTTAGTCTTCCACAGAACATCTCCGGTACCGTCATGGGCGGAGGAGTCAATATCAGTGATATCGACGGCAAGGTGCCTGATCCAGGGACAGGGGCCAACTCCGGCCCACAAGAATGTCTGGCCGCATGTGCAGCCAGGGTAAACGGAACTCTACGCCATGGCTAAAAACCGTGACTAGGTTTTCTATGGCCATGGTCGCCCGGGCGCCATTGACCACTGAGATAGGATTCTAGGTTACGGCAGCAGTGGAACAAAGGTTGTTTATTTCGTTCAGTTGGAAGCATGTCGGAAAGGGAAAAGAATGACAAAGAAGTTGGGGCGGCAGAATAGTTCATCTCGTAAGGACAAGCACAAGACCCAGATGGTCCAATAGTGTCATTCTCTATCTTATTCCTCGTGAAATCCTTTTTCATTCCTGCAATGCAGGCCATAGGCACACCATGTCATTAAGCCCTCGCCACGTACAGCACCACAATTCCTCACCGATGACACTTTCCCAGGCCTAATTGAAGCCTTCATCACACGTTTGTACTGTACTCTACTTTGTCATCTCACCCTCTCTCTCTCACCCCGTAACATCTACCAGGCTGCAATGAAACATATTTTACTCAGACCCTACGGAAGTATAAGTATCACCAAGAATTAAGAGTACAGGCTATCCTCACTTTACTCTATACTTTCATGGAGGGCAACGAAAATGTACCATATCTCGAGTCTCACAAATCGAACTCCAATGAGGACCGTACGGATGAAGCTTCGGGCCGTTTTGGTCAATTTGGTGGTCAATATGTTCCGGAAGCATTGAAAGAGTCCTTGATCAAACTTGAAGAAGCATTCGTGCAAGCCAAAGAGGACCCGGATTTTTGGAAGGAATGGAGGGCTTTCTCCGCGTACGTGGGCCGACCTTCACCGCTTCATCACGCCCGTAGACTCAGTCAACAAGTGGGCGGTGCACAAATATACCTCAAACGGGAAGATCTCACCCATACGGGGAGTTCGGCCATCAACAATGCCATTGGTCAGGCCTTGTTGGCTAGAAGGCTAGGGAAACGGCGCTTGATCACGCAGACGGGATCCGGACAGCATGGTGTTGCTATGGCTGCTGTGTGTTCAAAGCTCGCTCTTGATTGTACTGTCTACATGGGTGTTACAGATGCACGACGACAAATAGTCAATGTGGTCGACATGAAAATACTGGGCGCAGAAGTTGTGGTAGTCGGCAGATGTGCTGGTACGCTGCGTGATGCGATGAATGAAGCTCTAAGAGCTAGCATCCACGACCTGGATAGGTCCTTCTACGCAACGGGATCCAGCATTGGACCTCATCCATATCCAATCATGGTGCGCACGTTCCAGAGCGTGATTGGGCAGGAGACCAAGGATCAAATGAAGAACCTCACTGGTCACTTACCTTGTGCAGTGGTCGCTTGTGCCGGAGCATCTAACTCTGTTGGCATGTTCTTTCCGTTTAGGTCGGATTCCGACGTGAATCTCGTCGGCATTGAAGCTGCTGGCAATGGCATCGACACGAGGAGACACTCTGCAGCCTTGACCCGGGGTGCGGTCGGCATCTACCACGGTGCAATGACATACCTCATGCAGGATGACCATGGGCAAATCAACACTTCGTCTTCGATCGCGGCAGGGCTTAACTGTCCGGCAGTGGGACCGGAATTGGCGTACTAGAAAGACACTGCCAGGACTACCTTCATCACAGTCACAGATGAGCAGGCGGTTGTCGCCTTTCAAACAATGGCACAAGTAGAAGGGATTGTTCCTTCTTTAGAAACAAGTCATGCTATATGGGCTGGCATGAAGACGGCTGGCGCCATGAAAGTGGATGAGACGCTGATTATCTATCTTGACGGGAAAGGGGATAAGGATTTGCAGGTTGTGGCTGATAGATTGCGATACTGAGGCAGACCAGAAGAATCGAACAGGACGCCCAGGGTCACGTGAGTTGGTATAGATCAATGGTATCGATCAATGCCCTCTTTTAGAAGTTCTTCTCAAACCACGCCGAAATGAGCATAACAGATGGTCCTGCAACTTGCGTTTCAATAGATCGAACCTGCTCGACGTGGTTCAATGGGTCTGAACCCCAGTAAGAGCCAAAATCTCCAAGTTGATTGACTGTTCCATGGGCGGCAGCTGCGTTCCGTCTGATCCATTCTCGGTAGCTTGAACAGTTCTTGCGATGAGAGGCTTGGACATCTGGCCCTACATAGTCCAGTTTTTCACAAAAACCCTTGATATCGAGGAAAGGAAGGCCTTTGAAGATTTGCATGTCTTGTGTACAATTACTGAAACGGTCGCAATGGTCCTGGATGATGCCGTTCAACCCTAGTCTCCCGTCGTAGGTGGACATAATCAGGTTCCGTATAATTCCGTGACACTGACCTAGAATGGACAGGTCTTCATTGGCGCGGGATAAGTAACGTAAAGCTTGTATACCAGCCAGTTGGTTGTAAGTAAAGAGAGTCCTCACAGTCGCATCGCAGAGAACTGTTGGCCATTCGTCCGGTGAGGCTTGTACAAAGCGGGAGCGTTTCCCGTCCACGTACAAGGAGTCATTGGTGAGGAGCTGAGATTGTTCCATCCACTGAAGACCCTCCGAGGTTGGTCGTATGAAGTCGGGGTCGTTAAAGTCGGCGAGATGAGCATGACTTTTCGACCACCCGAAGATTGGGCGAAACAGCTTCCATACCAGTCGAAAGCATTGAAGGCTCACTTCTGTGATGTCGTAGGGGCGAGGTCGACTTGAAGATAGGTTGAAATTTGGGCGTTGTTGGCGTTATAAAGATGGTTCGTAATGCTGTTCTTATTGACCCTGGAGAGAGTGAGCGAGGGCCACACATTGAGTCTCCACACGCGAACTTTCCATTCAGCACCACCCTCATAGAGATCCACGCTCCATGAATTCTTCATAACATCGTGAAGGAAGGCGGCCTGGAAGGTGAGTTGCCTGTGTAAGTTTGGATGCCGTTGCATGACTGAAGAGTTCGGAAATCTTTTCTCATCCCAGTCCAGATATCGGATGATCTTCAAGAGAATAAAGCACCTCATGCTCTGCTCGTACGGGATGGTAGTGGTCGCCCAGTACCATGTTTTGTCATTGCTGCTCTCGCGGCACTTTTGAGCTTCATAGCGCTGTCGGAATATGGCAAGCCCGTTCTCGTCTACACTGGCGAGTCCAGTGGCACTCCAATGGCTTTTGTCTCCTTGGCTATATTCGTCGCACATCTCAAATTCTCGAAGGAACTTCGAAGGTAGAGACAAAAGCCAGTGAAGAGTTACCATGAAGGCTTCATCAGCGAAGCAAGTTCTTGGTTTGGAGCTTCTTTTTGCTGTGTCGCGGTCCTCTCCCAGCTATGGACCGGACTGGAGCCAACAGCGTACAGAGACGCGCTCTCGGTCGAAACAGATGCCAGTACTCTCCGGTCCTATATTTACGTCCCGATCGCAGTAACAGCCTATCTTGGCAGCAAGCTTTACCGATGAATCCCCACGGCACAGGGGTGAATGGATGGCTTGATCTCTGTTGCTCCAGAAGTTCTCGATGGTCCGGCACTACAATACCGCAGATAAACTCCTTTGTGGATACGCCACTGTCTGGAATGACCTTGGAGCCGACGGAGTATACCAAGGGCTCGATGGTTCACTTTAACGACGAAGAGGGAAGTAGTTTCCAAGAGATCTGAGTAAAGAACTCGTACTGTATACTGTACGCTGAATCTTGGCTGATACAGTAACCGGGCGCGACGTGGCGGCCGATAGTCTTACGGCCGCTTAACAATAGCCATTACGTCATACTTTGCGCACATAACCATCAAGTCTAGGCAGTCTCTGTAGCAGCTGTGCTGCCCGAATCCGCGACAAGGAAAATCCCTTGTTCACGTCCCCGATCTCCTGAGGCAGTCGTCCCGGCCCAACAGCAAAATTAAAGCATTGCCTCGAAAATCGTAATAATCCTTGAGATTGTATTTCTCGCCAATTTGCCAATTCGAAGCCTTGTTCCCAAGCCGTTTGACCACAATGAGAGTACCGCTCTCTGGCCGTGGTCGCCAGGGCAATGGAAGAGCGCCATAAACTTTGTAGAGTTGTGCCTACAGGGGAAGTATGAATGTTATATAACCACTCGATTAAGGTACAGTAGAGCTTACCTTGTCGCAACAAAATTTGCTTTTTAGTTCTTCTGCTATGGGTTGCCAACTCGGGTCTGCCAGGCGTTGTGTACTTGCAGCACCGACTTGCGCCCTCATGCCAGCGAAGATCTCTTCGAACTGCGCACCCTCAAATTCGGAAATGGCTGTCACTTCGTCGACACTGAGTGCCATACTGTGTTAGCTATCACCGTTGTCAAGTGAATTGAAAATGCTGTATTCGCTGGTGAAGGGTTCTGGAGGATCTGTGGTGAGAAGAGCAAGTGAACGGTGGCAACTCCAGGCAAAGGTGAAGGAACGAGAGGCTGTGCAAGAGCGAAAGTCGCAGGATGAGGAGGTAACCCCTTCCCCGCAGTTTGTCACACCGGTTAGCTCATTCTAGCCAATAGCTCCGGCCCCACGTTCAGGGAAACTTCAGCCGCAGCAACACATTCGCCCAAATACACAAAATAGCCGTAATCTCCTCCATGTCGCTCATTCCAGTCGATTGGCCGCGGCTGGAAAACGATGCCATTTTCCTTCTTCGCCAGGAGCTTCGTTCTTTGCTATTGTATCTGCTAGGAAGGTGTAGTCATTAGTGTCCTCGCTGCTATCTCGTACATTCGCCAAAACTATAAGTTCTATACATACAGCGGCGCAAAGATACCGTTTGTAGCAGGCGTGCGCTCTTCTGCGTTACAGTACCGTAATGTCGTCTAGTTTCGTGTAAAATTTTCCAGACGGGGCTCTAAAGCAAGTGTACAGGACTACACATACATAGTCAGGGCGAATCCGAGTACACTGAGACTGAGAAGCATATAGAACACCCCGTGGAACCCACCAAGATAGGCTTGTAAGATAGCCTGCAAGACTGAGTCTGTTTCATCCAAAAGATGTAACTCCTGGACATAGCTCTCAGGGTCTCGTGCAATTGACGTGGAGACACCATATTTGGTGAGAAAGTGCGCCATAGTGCTTCGAAACACCTTTCCCCCAACCACGACACCCAGACACATTCCGAAATTTTGAAAGAACCAGTACATAGCAGGTCCCGAACTTGAGCTGCAGCGGTCGGTAGTTGTCTGGAAGCTGACGGCACTCAGAAGCCACCCAGTTCCAAGGCCTCCAATGGCGAGGACTAAAATTTGTGTCGGGAGTGCTGTATCTATCTCGAGGAGCAGAAGGAAGCCCAAGCCCAGGATGGTAAGAATCCAGCCTACCTTGAGGATCTCTTTGTGTGGTCGATAACCGATGATGACTTGTGACGAGACTTTCCCTAGCAGCAATGAACAAGAGAAGGGCAGAATACAGAGAGTTGATTGTCTTGGTGTTCGCCGCTGTACAGAGGCGAAGTAAAAAGGCAAGAAATATAGCAGGCAAGAAAACTATGGCTTTTATCAGCATTTTGACGTATTCATCGGAAAACAACCTTACAATTGCGCCTTGAAAGCAGCAATAGAAATATGCCGCAATCTGAGAGGCCTTTCTGAACAGGGTGGCCTGAAAGATGGGAAATTCGGCGACATTGCGTTCCCAGATGATGAATAAAATTATTCCGGAGGACCCGATGGCAATTGTTAGGAATGTAAACTTGCTAGTCCACGCAAAGTTCACACCACTCCAGGTGATACCAAAGACGAGGCTGCTCACACTAGACAGAAACAGCACCATACCTTCCCAATCAACTCTAAGCCATGAGCATTGCGTTGAAGAACCACAAGAAGGAACTACCCAAGGTATGAGAGCAAGAGACAGTCCGCATAGAGGCGTATTGAATAGAGCCAGCCGGTAAAACGTGGCGGTCGAAGCCAATTTGCTGCCAATGAAGGGTCCTGCAACACTTCCAATCGCCCAGGAAGCTGACACTATACAGTGACCACCAGGACGCCTCCTTGACGGGACAAGTCGGTCAGATATAACCTGGACCAGCGATATCATGCCTCCGCTGCCCAAACCTTGTAGGGTAAGACCAGCAAGGATAAGGACAGGGCTCTGGCTGAGAGCACAGATTATTGAGCCCCCCACCAACGTTGCCACAGATAGCCAGAGCACCTTCGTTTGGGTGCCCCAGATATCAGACGTTGTAGCAATGAAGGGCTGTGTGACGGCTGAAGCCAGAAGGTAGGAGATCACGGTCGAATATGAAGGAGTCGCAGTACCGTTGAGCCTCTGAGCATTGAGCTATATTGGTCAGTCCTTTTCAGATCAGATGACCTTCCGCGCATGCACACTAACCGGTAAAACAGTGACCAAAATTGTTGAATCAACGGCAGCTAAAAGGCACACAAACGAGAGGAGCGGCATACAAGCCCAAGCCTTGGGCGAGGATTTCCCTTCTCTGCTGGAAACAGGCAACAGAGGCTCCATTCGTTCAAAGATACTGTCAGTATAATCCCTTCTCAACATGCTCGTGTGAGTTTGGAGAGACCGTACCGCTCATAATGATTCAAACGTGTAATTATAGGAAACTCCACATACAACTGCCACGGCTAGCAAGCTCTAGCGTCTCACCTCTTCTAAACCTACACCTTCATTGGACATCAGTTACGTAAGGAGTTTCTGTGCGTAAAGCACTCACAATACAACGCGATCTTCACAGAAATGTTGCCAAAGGTCTGCTTGGGAGACATGATCCGGGACCACCATACTGTACGTGGTGTGTGCTACGATATATTCTCCCTTTCCTAGCGCTGTTCGTAACGTTCAATTTGGCATGTCCATCGCCAATGTGCTAACCCTAACTATAAGACGCTTGGGCGGCCAATTGAACTATCCCCTTTAGACATTGTCGCCCTTCTTCGTCAACTCCAGCCTTAACGCCGGCCACCGCACGCCCTTCACGTTTCCATCCACAGCTTTAACGATAACCACGCGATCAATGCTTCTTCCTCCGTAGAGTAAAGAGCCATCCACTCTCAACCAACTTGCGTCCGCGTCTCTGAAAACTGCCTTCCCTTCTCTCTTTTCCATCGTCCCGTCGGCGCTTTCTGAAGACAAGGGCTCTGTGCCCAATCGCCAGTCCTCCAGAACCACCTCTTCCTCCAGATCTTCTCCTGAGGACAGGACCTCCGAATGCACAATACCTGCAGGGTAGATCCTGAACTCATTAGGAAGCGTTGCGCCGATACCAACAACGCTCTGCGTAAAAATCCCATTTATTGCCGCGAGCATATCGCTGCCATTTCGGTAAAATCCTTCCACAATCAGGCCCGGGCCGGAGTCCAGAGACAGGGTCAGGTTCGCTTCAAAGCCGTCTGCGCCGGAGAAGTACGCCCCGGTGTAGGCATTTTCAGCTTGTTCCCTCGCAACCACCTCAGCGGCGGCGACCACCCGCGCGACGACGACTTCGCTGAGAGCTCTCAAGGCAAATGGAGTGTCCCCCGCCGTGAGGAACGTGAGACCCAACCCGTATCGTGGAATGAGAGCGATTCGTGAGGTATAGGCTTGGGCGGAGCCGTCCTTGGCGTAGATATCAATTGTGGTCGAGTCGCCCTTAACGGTGCTGGGGAAGGGGAGCAGGGTAGAAAAAGGGACACGATAAATTTCCCATGGCGCGCCGACGGCAGACGAAATGGAGGAGGTAAAAGAATGGGGTTGCAGCCAAGCATGGATAAGCCCTGCTGTGGGGAGGATGGTTGTGGAAAGGCTAAGGATCGAATGTAGAAAGCGGGAAAGGTCGTTCGCGCTGGTGTAGAGACCGCTGGCGGGCGCGTTAATGCCGAAGGAGGAATTAAAGCTAGAGTTGGCAATGGGAACAATGAAATTCGAGGATTCGGTGGCCGGAGAGACTCCCGAGTGTGTCATGTTCAAAGGAGAGAGGATTTGGTTTTGGAGGAGTGTAGAGAAGGAGGCATTGGTGTTGGAGTGACGATGAAGGATTAGCCCGAGGAGGGAGAAAGCCAGGTTACTGTACGCTGGGTAGGTGGCGGGTGCGAAGACTGAGGTTGAGGAGGTGGAAGGATTGGAGAGAGCAGACAATAGAGTACGTTCGGAGCATCCTTCTGTGAGACCAATGATGCCACATGGAGGGAAATCGGATGTTTTGAGGGGCGGGAAACCCAAAGATTCGTAGACGGGGACTAGATCATATATCTCTGGAAATCCGTAGTTCTGGGGGATCCCAGAAAGATGTGATACGAGGTGTGAGACTGTTACGTTGCACCAGGGAATTGGTGAAGAAGAATTTATATGCCTGAGTTCTGGAAAAAAGTCGGTGATGGATGACTCAAGACCGATATCGGATTGGAGCACGAGGAGAGTTGTGAACACCTTGCTGATAGACGCAGCCAAGTACTGAGAGTCGCCATCGATGGAATTGGCACTAAGACGAGAGCGCTCAGGTGCGAGATGATGGTAATCCCAAATGACTGGGTCTGTTTCTGGGGCCGACAGAGATGTGATAGCAACGGAGAAGGAGGTATTCTCAGCAGCGAATCCGGCCATAGAGGAGTTGGAAGAGGCGTCGTTAAGCAACATTGTAAGGTTGGCAGCCACATCTTGGAAAGAGGACGAGGTTGTAAGGACAGGTACAGGCAGGAGAGGTCCGCTCATCGGTGGGATTGCTCGGGAAAGACTAGGGATTGCAAGAAACGCACCCAGTGCCAGAGTGAGCGAAGAAGCCATTGCGATCATATGTTGAGGCCGTCATGGGAGCTTTCTTGGACATGCTTCACGGAATTTATACTCGTCTTGCTCCCAGGCCTCGTTAGATTAAGACTCGATGGATTTATGCTCTCATCGTTTTCCACAACCGCTATTGGCTGCCATTACCTTGCAGTCGATATAATTCGTGCCGAGCTAAGGACGATCTTCTGGCATTAGTATGTGAATCCGCGAGTGTGGGGCACACAACCCAGTTTCTGAGGCCAGTCTATTTGCAGCAAGTGGGTATACTGCACGCTAAGACTCGCGTATTCGTATTTGTTTGACGTAGTAGCTTTCCTTCGATTGTAAGCTGCTTGGCGCGACCTTCGACCATGTAACACAGGTGTATAATAATACCACTCCGGGTCCCCTACTATAGAGTAGACTATAAATGCTCTAACTGACGGGCGCCTCCGGCGTTTTAGCTAGGCTCTTACTCCACCTAGTGATGATGGTGATGGTGGAGGAGACGGAACAGCGAGAAACTAGTCTACAACTTAGCGAGGAATACTTAGACCTAGATATGTAATGATGATCGTATCTCGCGCCACGCTTCCCCAATCGAACTATACTCAAAATCAGACTATATCATAATACCCAAGGTGCCCGAGAGACGTAAAGCCGAGAGCATGACTGACTGGGCAATATTATGAGCACCATTTCCATAAGTCCTGTGAAGCGCCCGACTGGTAACAATGACAAAGTTTTGATCATCAAACCCAGAGTGCTGACGTCACTGGGACAGTGATCGTTCAAGAGGTGGCGCTGATAGGGCATGGAACACGGAGGCGTCTATTTGAGAGGTGTTTGGCTATGTTTAGATCTTCTGGCGATCGGGTCGTTCTCAGCTGGCAAGGCCGACCCCACGGCAGCCAAGATATACTGCCTCGAGATCTATGTATAAAGTTAGTTATGTTGGTAATTTATTAAATTTAGAAAATTTCTATACAGGTTTTGTCTTTTTAGCATGTTTAATCCTTTTTGTACAGCTAAAGTATGATTACCTAAATATGTACCTTCTGATATTATTAATGACAAGTTTTTATCCTAGAAAAAAATATATAGGTGATTCTACCTTCCAGGACACGTCTTATTAAATTGGTGATCATCGACCAGGTGTACAGCACAATAGTCGAAGGCAACGGCAATTGAGGTGAAAGGAGTTTGCAAATCGCTTTTCCATTACAACTTTTTTTCCCTATCTGTTCATAGCCACTGTCCGCGGTAATCTTCTTGAATGCGTGTCGTCATCTAGCCAATGGTTTTCTGGTTTCTGTCGAAATCACAGACATTAGGTATACACGCCATCTCAAGCGGGATGCAGTCGGCACTTGGATTCCATTTAGACATGTAAGATACGTGTACAGGACAACGAGGTCCTGGATGAGGCGACAGAGAAAGTCAAGTTTACGCGAAACCTTTTACCATTTGAGGGTGAAAGCTTGCTTAGTCTTAGCTTGGGATCCTACCAAGCACAACATTAATACACCCAAGAGGCCTACAGTCCAATTAGTTAATTACAGAACAAAGTTTTTGTGAGAGGCCAAAGTAAAGGAAGTCTCTCTTTCGAGCGGAGAGAGTCAATGATAGAGAGTCACGAACCATCGCACTGCAGGTTAACCGGCACTCCACTTCTGTCTCTTATATATTACTCCCTAACGTGACACCCGTGGCCCGAGTGAGTTGCATACTACACTCTCTGAGCGGCTTAGGCGCAAGATGCAAAGTCCAGAACGAATGCTCAGCGACTATGGAATCTCGCCACGGAGGGGTTTTCTTGCGAACATCCCACCGTTAGAGCGACTGCCTGATTACTATGCACATTGGGAAAAATTGGCAGCCGACCTTCCTTCCCTCATAGCAAAACGACAAGTGAAAAAGAAAATAGATGGACTCCCAGTACTGGAAACGTCAGGCCTGGTGCACAAGGCAGAATGGCAGAGATCATACTCCCTGTTGGGATTTTTGACCCAAGCTTACATCTGGAGCTCCAGTCCTCCCGCTGAGGTTTGTAACGTGAATCCCGTCCGTGAACTGATTGTATTCCAGCTGATAAAGGCGAGCAGTACCTACCACCCTCGATAAGTCGTCCCTTTCTCGCTGTGGCTGAACGTCTCAGACTTCCACCCATCGCCACCTACGCCGGCTTGGTATTGTGGAATTTTAAGTTCAAGCTCTCTGGATGTGATCCGACCAATCCTGAGCATCTGCAAGCGCTGACCACGATGACCGGTACGAAGGATGAAGAATGGTTCTACATGATCTCCGTCACCGCCGAAGCACGGGGCGGACCTTTGGTGGCGGCTACCTTGCACTGTCTGGAAGCCATGACCAAACATGACGACGGTGGCGTCCTCTCCGCCGTCGAGTCAATCGCGAACGGCATCCGAGATCTGACCAGATTATTGTCAAGAATTCACGAGCACTGTAACCCTAGGGTCTTTTATGAAAAGATCCGCCCAATGCTCTCGGGGACCAAGGTCTCCTCCTTCGGCGTTTTACTTCGAGGCGTGTTTTACGACCTTGGAGACGGCCATGGTCTGTGGCGAAAGTATAGCGGAGGTAGTAACGCACAAAGTACTCTGATCCAGTTGTTGGATATTTTTGTGGGAGTTCCTCATTTAGGAAGGGACGAGACACCGACAGAAACGCCTTCCGTTGCACCACCTTCCCCACCCGGTGGGTTCCTCGAGGTGTGTATCTGCTACCCAGAGGTTGGCATACACAGAAGCTCGCAGCACTAATGGCCTGACTTAGGAGATGCAATCCTACATGCCACAAGAGCATCGCGAGTTCCTTCTCCACATCGCACAGTCGGGCAGTTTGAGGAGGTACGTGACGAAGTGCACTGCCGATGCAGGCGTGCATCAGGCGTACAATAACGTGGTTGAGGCTTTGGTGAGCTTTCGCAGCGTTCATATTCAAATTGCCGCGCGGTTCATCATCCAGCCATCCAAAGGGTCGCTCTATTCCCCACCGGGAGATTTGCGAGGACCTGACCTAGGACTGGCAACTCGACCATGGCCACCACCCAATGAGGATGCAGCTCGTCCACATTTGCACGGTACCGGAGGCACTGAGTTTATGTCATTTTTGAAAACGAAGCGTGATGAAACACGGCATGCTGTTATCACGTCGTTTAAGTAAGCCGGTGACCTCGACCGTCTCTCACAGGGAAATTCACCACTCCCAAAGTGACCGAAGTTCTCAACCAGTTCTACTCTGCGGGTGGTTCTGTGGCCCTGGCTATACGGAGAATAGCTTGAGTCTCAAGGTCGTGGTCCGCAGAGAGGGTGTGAGTGACTTTAGATTAATCTTTATAGTGTATGTTTACTTGAGGCGCGTTCTTAGAAGGACTTCAAGTTATCGTGCAAGCAGACGACGATACTGTATGGTACTTTACTTGGACTTTGAAACGCTCTTATTGTCCTCATACAGTATCTCCAGCGGATCATGAAGTGGATTACATCAGGTTGAAGAGAACACTAAACTTTATGGGAACATGGAGAAGAGATAAACCTACAAAAGACGATAACTACATAATTCAGATTTGGAGTGCCAAGACGGTTTCTAGTATTGTAAGTGATACGCAGATCGAGACGTGGACACGTTGTCTCGTCCCTCCATCAACCCTTCACCATTAACTCTTCATCAGCTCTGTGACGCTTTGTCAAATCCCCACCTAATTCTTACTGCCATCCAACACTACGTCAAAAAAGTCCTTATAGTCCGTTCCAAGGTCAAGGGATGACATTGAGCTGAGTTGGTTCTCACACATGTCCGAGCACGGTATCTCGATATGACCTGGTTTACATCGGTCTTCTGCCAGCTTTCCCGCCTCGAGGAAAGCTATTTTGTTCTTGAGAGTTCTGTTTTCCTAACTCATTTGTCAATTTTGACTGATTCACGTAGCCTGACAACTCTAACCTTATATTGATCATCTCGGACCCTTCCCAGTTCGAAAATCCTCTTTTGTAGCGTTTCAATGATCTTGTTCAGTTGACGGAGCTCCGGTTCTGCAGCTGTGCCGTTGGCATCGTTGAATCTCCATCGATTGACCTCTTTCGCCAGCTCATCCCTCTGCTGAAGTAGGTTCATATTCATATTGTGGCATTGGTGATTTCTTTCGGTGGACGATAGTAACTCCTCGTGCATCAAATGAACAGCATTCCGACAGCCATCCACTGCTGCGGACAAGGTTTGAAGATTTTGTTCGGCGCAGCGGACGTAAGCCTCAGGACCTTGAATGGCCGTAAGCATTTTGGCCCAAGGTAGAAATCTTGGAGGACAGTACACAATTGAGTGATTCTTTCGGGCTGGAGGAGGAGTTCTGAGTTGGAGGAGTGCCGATATTTGAACTAGAATGTACAACTACCTGCGGGTGCCGATTGACCTTGTGCTTCACAGCAGTGCCCCACAATTGTGCCAGTCCATTTAGCTCTCACTGCAAGGATAGACCGAAATAGAAACCCCCTTTATAGAATTGGTTTCTTAGATAATGACACTTCCTGTATTTACAGTATACAATCCACCGAACACAAAAATAGAAAATGGTGTTTAATTTTGACAGTTCAACCTGTTACTATAACTTCATGCGCCACAGATTCGTTGAGAGTGTCGGTCAATAAATATATGACGAGGTGACCTTGGCAACAGAGAAGAGCCGACCAACAACAAAAATGTCGAACTCCATTCAAACAAGTCAAACGACACAAGATCAATTTGTCGAATACAAGGTTCCTGCAAGACTTGGAGTCGAGGAAGGAACAATCGACGTGGACTTCTCACTGCCGGACCTTGATTGTACAGACCCCGATTTTCTTTCTTTTGACCCCTTTCCTTTTCATTTGACAAATGATGAGCCTTTCCCACTTCCAAGTTCAGCCGTGCCAGCAGCAGTTATAGACCCATCACTGACAAAAGGAAACTACCCGTTCGAATGTTCCGGTGAGCTGAACGCTCTTCACTGCGAACTTCAGAAACGTATTGACCTCCTGGACGAGACTTGCAAGAGATTACAAAATGAGTACGGACGAATTTTTATCACTCTGAAATGAGAAAAGTACGCTGATACAGTATTTTCAGGTTTTATTACATGCAGAGGTGAGCAACACCCAGATGCGTCATTTCCGTAGGCTTTGGACTTACCTACTGTATCCGGCAAAGTCGTGTCTGGTCAGTTGAAACATACCTCAGGCAGCTAGGTGCCTGGTATTTCAACTTCAAGGCGGCTGTGAACAAGAACACGGCCATGTTGTCTGGAAAGATGGAATCACTTATCATGGGTACGCCTTTTGGTTGATGGGGACTACAGTACTTCGGTGGCGCTCCGAGCAGCACAGACAGCACGATGCCACACATAGAAAGCGGAGAATTTTATAGTGTTGCTTTCGTTTTAATAGTCTATATTGCTTTCATTTTCATGGCCTATATCTGGATCTACTTAGTGTACCGTTCTGTATAAGATGATCACGAAGGAGAAGGAATCCTCAATAACCAGTTCAGTCAGTTCAATGTCAAAGCCGTAACCCGTTTCAAAGGAGGAAGCAACCCACTACTCAGGACCCCACGTAGGCTATAGTTCGACCGATTCCTCCTTCTCATAGAGCCGACTCGGCCACAATATCTATGTTATGGCCCCGCCTCCTCTACCTCCCTCGTCCTATGTCCCGCTTAATCAGAGCCCTTTACGGCAAGTCTCTACCCATATTAGCACGCCGATCCACGATGAATCGGTGAAACTCGAACCCTGGAATCATATCTCCCACATCCCAGGCCGACGGAAGATCCAAAATCGGAATGCTCAGGTAATTAAGCACTTTCGTAATGTTTATTTCGGTTCACTTACAGCATAAACAACACAGAGAAGATATCGCCAGAAGCTCAAAAGAAGACTGGCAGACTTGGAAGAACTGGCAGGTGTGAGAAGGTCAGAAGCCTCAACTTCTACAAAAGCACCAAAATACGAGAACAATGCCAGATCTCCAGGCTCGGAGCTTGAAAAAAACTCAGATATTGCTCGATGCTCCTTAAACACCTCGAACACCTCGACTGTATCGACGACAGCTCCCACGATCCTAGATCAAAACCGCCAGCGAAGCCACCTTAGCGCCACTGAATCTCCACGCTGCCTCTCTTCCACCCAACAGGATCGCCAAGATACATATGACGACGGCCGAGACATATATTGGGAGCCTTTGGCCGATTCCCCATCAGGGCCTAACTTTCAGTCCTGTACATCACCAGAGACGAGCGGCGCTCTGGTCGAAGACTGCTGCGTAGACGAAGTAGAGATATGTCCATGGACTGTAGCGTATAACTCCCTGTTGGGGTTGTAAACATCTCCAAAAATACTAGGCTTGGAGAAGTGGAGGATAAGTGAAACATATTGGCTGCTATAACTAGTCACTATCAAGAAATCATTCGGAAGTGTTGTCGGGCCAAACTAATTCAACACTAAGTGGAAAGCTTAATTGTACCTCAGGCAAATCCATCTAGCCTCTTATCTGGAGACTGAACAAAACAATACCGCCTTTACTAGTGAATAAGCTGGGACATGGTACCAAGGTTGTGTCCATGTTACTGCTCCGAAAGTACCGTATCTCTCTAGGCTTTCACTTTGGTGACCTCCATATCGATTTCGGCCTTTTCAAGTAATGCGCGAAGAATTTTACCCGTATTCGACCGGGGAATTTTGGTAACGAACACGACACCTCCTGTCAGCTGCTTGTAGGAGATGAGCCGGGACTTGACAAACTCCTCGACTTGTTCCTCGGTCAGCGATGGCCGACCCTGGGGATCCAAGTCGTTTGGTCGTTGGCGCACCACATACGCGCGAATTAATGTGTCCATGGCACCAAGGTCATTTTCAGAAGGCATACCCGCCACCGCCACGTCGGATATCAGCGGATGATGTGATAAGATACTCTCAATTTCTGTCGGAGACACCTGCCAGCCTTTGACCTTGATGGTTTCTTTCATTCTACCAGTGTAGAAGACTTTGCCGGCTCGAAGGTAGACGAGATCTCCAGTTCGAAAGAACCCGTCCGAGTCAAAGGCCGCCTTACTCGCATCGACATTATCAAGGTAGCCGGAGAACATGCTGGGGCTGTGGATCAGCCCTTCTCCAGGGCTGCCTTCGGTCGAGAAGAGGGAAGACACTGGAGAACGATTGACCTTCATCCGGACATTCGGTAATAAGCGCCCGACGCTCCCTGAATCGTCCTTCTCCCACCAGCTAAAGAGCGTGATCCAGCCGGCTTCGGTGGTGCCCCAACATTGTGAAACAACCGCATTCGGGCTCAAGACGCCGTACAGCTGATTTTGGACCCTCGCAGACATTGAGGCGGCGGCGGAAATGAGATGTCGTAATGAACGCAGGCGACGACGTTCAGACGGTGAAATCAAGGCTATGCTGGACGCTATTGAAGGTACTATTGCCACGTCCGTGATGGTAAAGCGGTTGACGGCTTTGGTGAAATCTGCCAGATGGAACCGTGGAAGGAAGTAGGTCGGAATTCCCAACCGTAACGGAAGAAGCATTGCCAGAGGCATGGCAAAGGCATGAAAGATCGGCAAGAAAATCAATTGTCTAGGCTGTATGACGCGTCAGAAAGGTCCTCCTATCTTTGCGAAGGAGGATGGGAGAAGAGAAATCATGCAGAAATCATGATACTGACCAGGTAAGTCTTGGCACGAAATTCGCTTTCCAGAGTCGCAGTCTGGGCAAGTATCGATCGATGAGAGAGCATGGCGGCTTTTGGAAGACCAGTGGTGCCGCTTGTCATCGCATAGACGGCAATCTGACTCGGTACTGGACGCTCCCAATCGTGTTCGCCGCACTGAAGCAGATCGCGCCAGCTTCGGCAACCCTCCGGGACCCTATCCGATTCGTGATCGACCAAGAATATGTGGCCTGTGGTGAGCCAAGTGCGTGAAGTCACTTCAAGAACAACCTTTGAGCAATGTACCTGGGCCACAATGAACTTTGGCTTCGTCAACTGAAACATGCGGGACACCTCTGACGGCGTATAGCCTGGGTTGGTTCCCATGACGCAGCCCCCTGCGCCAATAACTCCGAGCCAGATCAGCGGATACCAGATCTATTGATGTACTTGTCAGTTATTTGATGCAGTATTGTGTTCGTCAGTGGGAGGACAACAGCCCTGTTTCGCGGGAAGGGGAACATTGCAGTGATGATCTGGCTTACATTGTTGTACATATGACAGCAAACCACATCACCTTCCTGCAGCCCATGTTCTTTGAAACCCTTGACAAGTCGACGGACAATGTAATATGCTTGGTACCAGGATACCATCTTTGAAGGAATTTTTGCATCCACAAATATCTAGACGTGTTAAGCCCTATCGAAACTTCACAAATCCATCGCAAGGAATATGGCGACAACTCACCGGTTGATCATTCTTCAACAGGTTGAGATGATCGAATACGAAAGTCAAAATGTCCGTGGCTGGAACATTGACCTCTTGGGGTCTGGGAGCCGTGGGTACGAACGTTGACATGATACTACCATTCTAGTTAGCAGTGGCTCTCGATGGGATAACACAAGTGGGATCAGCTTTCCTCACTGAATCAGGCTCGACCGGGAAGTCACGTACTGCCACAGTTGAATCTGCCACGCAGGTCAGATTCCGCGGTCCACAGAATCCAAAGCCAAGATCAGACACATTTGAGCAAGGTCAACTTGAGCAGGGGTGGGCATCAGTTTATATCACCAGTGGTGATTTCTCGCCTCATACAGGTGGAGCGTGGACGGGGTTAAGATATTGTTTCCACGAACTAGTGCTCGGCCTTCTGAAGCAGTAAGCATCCAAAAGTTTCTCCTCTGGGAGACTAGTATTTCAGTATGGGGGTCAGTACTAGGGTATACTACTGCACTGGAGGTCTCGTGCAAGGTTACTTCGCAGTGCTTTAACATACAGTACTGTAAGCCCTTCCTTTCTGGGAGAAACTTATAATCCTGTTGCAAGCTTTTGTCAACGACATTTACATCAACCAAGTCGTATACCCAAAGATATCCTCCTGACGGGAGGCCATATCTGAACCGAGATCATGGTTACGATTTCTTCACCTCTGAACAGGCCCCGGCCAGCTTTAGCCATCACCAACGAGCCAAGTTGCTCGGCCGGTGAAGCCATAGCA